GATACTCTCAAACCTTTACAATTGATTAGCCATTAAATAAAGCCCAATCCAAGCTGCCTTAGTCGACAGACCTAAAAATACAAAAAAAAAAAAATTAATTATAAGTTGGCTACTTGTGCGTCACATATCTCTTCTGCGCCAACAGAAAAAGCTTCTTTTATTTACYGACCAAGATTCTCGGGCAATTAATCAGTTTTAAATAAAAACGACGTGAACCTGGAAGTCATCTAAACAGGATTGTCCTAAAAAGGAGTTTTTTTTCCTGAGCAGTGAACAAAGACTCCCCGTGTCAAGGCTGAGGGAGCTGGTTTGGCTGAGATCGGAGCTCTTGTGTGTTCCAGTCGAGCATGAGACGTTTAAATTGAGCGTCAGAGCCTTTTTCAGCCTGACGTCATCCTCCCCACTCCCACCCTGATGGAGCTGATCTGAGTGCAGGAAGTGGGCAGCTTGGAGTGTTGCCATTGTTGCTGTTGATCCAGTTAATACATGAGACCTAGAGTTTGTGTTTATAGTACAACCCGGCTGCAGTGGAAATGTTATAAATTCGTTGAGCTGAGTCAGATTAACTTACACGGTAGCAGCAGCAGCTCCTGTGGAGAGAGATGTCTGTGAACTTTATGGATGTGTGAGAGAGTCGCACAGGCAGCAGAAAGGTGTGAGTTACACTCTGTTGTGTCAAATAAAACGGGCCCTGAGTGAGAACAGGATCACCCTGGTGTAAAAGTTGCTGGATGTTAAAATTGTTTTCTTTTAAAACTGTGTAGGATTGCAAGCTGACATGCATCCTGTGAGTGAAATATAGAATAATATTCCAGGAAGAAACACTCGTGTCCAGCGTGTCGTAAAGGAAGTGAACTACAGATTTTTTTTTTTCCTTTTTTATGCTGATTATTTATGGAAACAGGCTGCTTCTCACTAAAACTTTTTTGGCACTTCTGCACCTCAAAATAAGACCCGTAATAAATAAAACTTTGTTCGGGTAAAGAGTTGTTATTTAAATTAACTATGCAGAATGTTATGTCTCATCCCCCTCACTAAGACTGTATAAAACTGAAAACCTTAACCCAACGTGAAGACAGGAAGTCACTGCAACTGATGACTACAGCAGTCTACCTTACCTAATTTTCCTCTGGGATCAAAAAAATGCATTTTTTTTACTCATTATGAAAATTGTTTCTTATATCAATGGTAAACTTGAAATTTATGGTTTAATGCAATAAAATTAATTGTACTTATATATAGGGGTGCAACAATACATGTACCCATATTGAACAATATCAAACAGTGCTTTAGGTTCAATACACACTTGTATCGAACAATACAGATTTTTTATATTTACTTTGTCAACATGTCTTCTGAAGATGATCTGTGTTAAAGGATCAGTGGATCTGTGTTCGACTACTCCACCTAGGCTGCATTTTTAAGCGCAGATCCACTGAAAAACTTGCTGTTTCAGCAACATTTAATTAAAAAAAACTGTACTTTTGAGGTTAAACAAATGTTCATAAATAATTTAAATAAATTACAAGTTAAAAGGGGCATGGAAATGTCTCTTTTTTGTATCGAAAAAATATCGAACCGTGAGACTAAAGTATCGAACCAAACCGAATCGTGAATTTTCTGTATCGTTGCACCCCATATATATATATATATATATATATATATATATATATATATATATATTGTAAAGGAAGTAAAGGAATATATAAGTTCAGACCTTTTAAAGTGCAGTTCTGAGGAAATGTTATTACCAGTGTGTGTAATCTTTAAATCCTGACGTTCAGATCTCAGAAATTCCATCCAATCAGTTTCTACATCTGATCTGAGATCTGAGGCGCAGCCTGTGGCTCGTGTGTTTGAACGCAGATTAACTCAGTGCGTGCCTGTTAACTGGAATAGCCCCTCCATTGTGATCCGCTCCAGCATGTGAGGGGCAGTTGCTGTTTTTTCCCCCCTATAAGTTTGTATGTAGAGAGCAGTAAACACTAGCCAGCCTTTTCAGCTGTAGCTCAGGAACTCGGGAATTAAAAGCAGGAGGGAGTAAATGACCCAACGATGGGTGGGAATTTGGGTGGGACAATTGGCAGCATGGAGCTAGAAATATTAAAAAGCTCTGAGCGAATTCTACCAAACATTTGYTGCTTCTAATTAGCCATCCCTTATTCTGAGGGACAAATAAAACTACAAGTAGTCATCCTATGCCTATTTGCTTGTACAGTATAATAACTAAAATATTAGATTTTTAAAAAAAAATTTTTTTACTTTTTTTACTTTTTGTTTTTACACAATCTGTTTCAAGTCATTTAGACTCCTGTCGGTCTCCTGTGGCATGTGAAAACTGAGATAAGCAGGGGGAGTCTGGGGCCGGAGACTCGAGCTGTRCTCTCCCAGGAGGTCAGTTCACTCGGAGGACAGAGGACAAGGGCCATTTCAAGCATTTTGTTTTAATTGCCACTGAGGCTGAAGGCTTTGCCGGCGTTTAACACAGTGCGCCACCACTAAATAACCACGTCACGTTTCCTCCAGAAAGAGCCGACATYTGGCTGGAACAACCCGGCCTCTGTGTGTCTGACCAGGTGTGAAGCTGGGATGGATGTGTCGACAACGTCTCGGGTTTCAGTTGCTCCTTTTATTGTTGTTCTGTAACTATTTGTTATTCCCTCAATTGAATGAAATCAATTGTTCAGAAAATAATTGGCTCAAGTGTGTGGTCCCTCTGAGTTACTATTCCAGCCTTTAATAAAATGTACCATTTAGACAAGTCAGGCATCAGTAACTCCTGATGCAACGTTTGCAGCTTGGACCCTGCAAAGGAAGTCATTTCCTGCTAAAAAGCCAACCTAATATTAATTAGATTGAATATCAACAAACGGGTTCTTTAAAGGGCACATATGCAAACACCATTTTTTTTAGCCGTTAAATACATTTTCTTGTCCATTGCTGCGTTGTTATCTTTATWTTCTGTTTCGGTCATAATTTTGAACCTGTTCAGTTTTCTTTATTTTTTGTGACGTTTTCTGAACTGTCATGTCACAGAATTTACGACGGTACTGCCAAAAAACGTCTGGACTTGCCAACTACAATTTTGTGGTCTTCATTCTCCTCTGACTCTGATCAGCTCCAACATGGAAGCAGACAGTTTGGATGTTATCAGTCCATTAAATGGGCATTATCAGTTGATATCAGTCCCATAGAATGGCTTCAGTCTGTTTACCTACTTATACGTTGGAAGGCAACAGTCTGCTGTACTCCGGTCTACTTTAACCTAGCCCATGTCATTTTGTCTAAAATTAACCTTAGTGTCTTTATGCCTCATACTAACCAGCTGACAGTCTGAAGCCATTCTATGAGACTGATAACCGCTGAAAACATCCATTTAACGGACTGATAACATCCGAAGTGGGTGCATGTAAGGCTGGATGGACAAGTCTTCACTTGTTGACGTCTCAATTAATTTGTAAATAAAAAGTTTCTGTGCAGCTCCTGTATATAGTCGTAAATTCCTCTATCAAACTGGAATGGACCAGTCTGGAAGCTGTGTGTGTGTGTGTGTGTGTGTGTGTGTGTGTG